GCAAGAAGAATGTCGTACGACGCATCCCCACTCGTTGCTGCCCGCCATCTGGCTCAGTTGCGCGCATGGCCAAAAGCAATATGGACGGCGATCAAACGCTTGCTCAGTGCTTAGCCCGTCCACGGTGGGGCATTGCAAAAGCGCCCGAGATGTGAAATGAAGTCCCCTGAAGTGTGCTTGCGCTGCTGTGCTGTGCTGCCTGTGCGCACAAGTGGCAGTGGACGACAGTGGACGAACAGTGGAGTCGACCACACACACACCCACACCCACACCCACACTTGCACGCAGGCTGGACATTGGACGGAGAGAGTCAGTGGAGAGGGGACAGCGGAAGCAGCGCTAAACAAGGAGGGCCCTGGGAGGAGAGAGGAGTGGCCATGCCTCAGACGTCGACCACTTCAGACCTCCCTTGCTCCCCTCCACTCACCACGCGACGTGGAGACTGAGCCCTGGAGGGTAGAGCCCTGGAGGGAGAAGCCCTGTTACGGTAAAGAGAGTTCAGGCTCAGGCTCAGGCTCTTTGGAAGAGGAGAAAGAGGGCTTTTGCGGTCCGATTACCGCGTGAGAGCGTCTCTCCGGTCGGTTCCCGGTGCGGTGCGCTACCAGTCGACGATGGCATAGGCTCTTCTTCGGTCCCTCTCGTGGCCTCGTCGCGTGCTGCGCAACCACTTGTCGCAGGCCACTGTCCACAGAGTCGACACTGCTTCCACACTGACATCAGCGCCAGCAGTGAATGGGTAGGGGTTGGGCCATTGCCAGAACAAGGCCAGGCTGAGCCCACACAGGGCCGGCACACCCGCCAGCGGTCTGCGCAAAGGAGCCAGAGGCCTTTCCACGCAACTGGCTAGCTTGTGCCTGTGTCGCCCAATCCGGCAGCATGCGATTTTGTGGGTGAATGGCCTATTCCCCTTCAAGCCCCCTGGTCCACCCTGGGCCTGGTGGCTTGCATGGCGGCAGGCCAAAACACCAGGGCCAAAGCCATCCCGCGCCTGACGCCTGCTGATTCGCGTGCGGCGTACTTCGACTGGGTGTGGTTGTATAGTAGGGTTAGGGTATGTACATACTACCGTACCTACTCTAGGTTGGTACGGACGTAGGTACGTACCATGCCTGTACATGTTACATGTACATTTACCATCTCGAGACTGAGAATAGAGCATGTAGAGAGGCGGTGATAATTGTGCGGTCAGTGACTTGAGATGACTGAAACCTGACTTGACTAGCTTGCTGCCCTCGTTGA